GAGCCGGCCCTACAATTGGGCAAACGGAGCAGCCGCTCCAGGCGCTAAGTCCTAGGGGCGCCTCAGTGGTAAAGAAAATTAAAGGGTATAAGTTAGGGGCAACCAAGGGGGGCGCCATAATAGGATCTCGCTCCATCCTGAAATTCGCCTCGAGCTGGCACTGTGTAACGCTATGTAACTTGCCCAAGATATCTCTGGTTATGGGCTTAAGGGGTTTTTAATTAACATTTACCAAAAAAATGCTTAAATGAACTTTACTAAATATGAAGATTAATCTATAAAAACAAAACACAGTGACATTCTTAAAATTCTTAAAGGCTAAAATCTGAAAGCAATGACAAAGACGTGGTTTATAGGAAAGCTAGGACAAGGAAGAAAAAAATTGCACTATCCGTTTTTATTAAATCTGATGAAAGGCACAAAACAAATTTAAAATTTCAATATTCTAAAATACTTAGGCAAGTTTGAGATGGCATGCATGCTTACTTGAATAAAAAAATATAAAATAACGGAGTTTGCATTTAAAAGTTGTGAAATTTTGTATGACGAATTTCCAAAATTCTCAAACTGTGTTGAAACTGGAACTGTGTTACATAGGGGATTTCCTCAATTTGTTGAATTGTGTTAAAGTGAAACTGTATTGCAGAAGTGCCATGTTGTACAAGGGATGTTGTACTGTATAGTTATTGCTTTTAAATATTCACCTTTCCTCTATACTATGCTTTTATTTTATTATTGTATGAAGGAGTGCACTAAGAATCTAATTCAAGGAAATTTTATTCAAAAACAAGTAATTATTTAAGAGTAATGATATTGTTAAATGCAAAAAGTACTTTTTATAAGAATTATTGAAGGAAAGTATTAATATTATTATATAAAATAGTCCAAAACAAATGCTCATTATTTACTTATTTTGTCATTATAAGAATAGTATGTTCAATTATAAAGCAATGAAATTTATATTACACACAATAAATGTATAATAAAACAGTCTTTAAGAACCTATGACTAAATAATGGCTACACTTTATTTAAGTATAAGACTGTTTAATTAATGAAACTTTTTATAATTTATTTTCTTAATTAATATTGTTAATCAACAACTGGCAACAGTCCATTGCAAACCCCATCTAAATTATACTATTTGTCATTGTGCATAAGCTGTTTGAAGCAGTAAAAATCAAAATTATTGATACAGAATAGGATTCTCAGCTTAAAACTTGTAAAGTTTCTTCAGATCAGTTATTTTTGTAAACTTTTGTCTTAAGCCCAGAAATGCTATAGGCAGAACAGAGTTTTATTAGGTGGATTTTCATTTTTGAGTATGTAATTATTTGCTGTATTTTTCATATATTTTAATTGTTTCTCTAGCATAGTGTGCAGATATTCCATCAGGCCAAAAATATAATCATTTCTTGGGTAATTTTCTTTTAGAAGTGGCATCAGTTTTTTTTTTTATATATATACCTAAATATTCCTGAGTATTTACTGCATAATTTACTGGTAAAAACAAATGGCTTTGATGCATATTTTTTGCAAAATTGTTATTTATACACACACCTTTTTTCAAATTTTTCAAGTTTTAAAAAATTGGATTCTCATCATCACATATTCTTTTTGCTGAATGATAATTTGCATTTGAGTTAATTTTGTGATTTGAATAACCTAAATATGATTCATTATTATACATGATGCATTTACATTTACTTATGCAAAACCAATTTCAGAATCACTTGCTTTTGATTGTTTTGAGCTGTTTATGTCATGTTTTATGTACAATATTTTATAGATTTTTAAACATTGTTTTTTTTTAGTATTTTGCATACATATTATGATTGATATATACCCAAACTTTTTGGCAACTTTAACTTATAAACATAATTTTTTATATCAGATTTCTTAACAATTCTAAAAATGTCTTTGGTTTTAATTTTGGTGATAGATGTCCTGCTCCTGACTTATGTTCAATGTTTTCTCCATTTTGAAATAATTTACCTACTGTATGCACAGTTCTTTGGGGTATTCCAAGTGGTTTCAGATCTTTAGCAATTTGATAAATTTAAAGAACATTCAAATAGAGTTTTAATCATTTTCCAGTTCTTTAATAGACTCAGGTTAGACATTTTAGATAAACAAGCAAGCAAAAGACAACATTTTCAAACATAAAAATATCTAACATTTTTTAAACCAAATTTTGGTGCTGATACATTAGCTTTAAATTTAAAAAAATTGTCATTACTTGTCATACATCATTATTATATTTTAATGAAATTCATGAGATGTTGTTCATATGCTGTATAATACTTGCATTCTAGTAAAGTTGTTTTAGTCACATTCCTCAGTTTTTAGTTTTAGTAAATTAAAACTATGCTACATTTAAGCAAGTAATAATTTGTTTTTGTATTGTCATAATCTTAAGAAATTTCAAAACCAAAAGTCATAAGAATTCAAAGTAAAATAATGCAGTATTACAATACACAAAAGAAAAAAACCATAAAATGCAGCAAAAACTATTATTTACCAACATTTTTAGCCACATTTTACTGACATTCTTCAAGTGAAATACAAATTTGAATGTTAGTTAAGAATGAACACAATAATATTTCAAATATAACATTCTAGAATACATTTCAAATGTAGAAAGACAAATGTTTAAAAATATAAGTAGAAATGAAAAATACATAAATCAAAATGCAAAAGTAAACTATAACAAAAAAGAAATAATATATGAAAAACATATCAAAAATGGATAAATATATGTATATAGCCAGGGTGGCCAAGCTCCTTGATAGTCCGAGCCATTTTTCAAAATTTGAAATTTTTCGCGAGCCGNTGACTCTTGTTAAGTACTATCGACATCTCATCATGACTTCATTACGCCTCCCACTCCTTTTGCCCTCCTATAGCCATTTCCTGATAGCCAAGCCGGTAAGTGGGGAGAAGCTCTCCGCTTCAGCCCCCTCGGTTAGCACATTATGCTCCTTCCCACACTTGTCTCAAGGTGTGCCAATTTTTGGCCAAAAAACAGGCAACTGTATTCGATTATGCTCCTTATTCACCAGACTTGGTCCCTGCAGACTTCAACTTATTGCCGAAGTTGAAACTAACACTCAAGCAGCACAATGTTGTCCTAGAGGGCATCCAGAAGAATGTGATGAGCATCCTCGGCACTGTAACTTTGGAAGACTATTTGAAAATGTTTGAATGACTATATGAACATTCCAAAAAAATGTATGGAAGGGGATTACATTCAATAAAACAAAAAATTTCATTCAAATATCTTTTGTCATTTTCTTTATATTGAAAAATATCTAGTTTTCTCCCAACTGCACAGGGTGTATAGAGAGATTGCTGGAATGATCAAGTTAGGATTTTTTATAGGAGATCTCCTAATCTCTTCAATCATCAAAAATGACAAGGACATGGCTGACAATAAGCTCTGGCCAGGATTACTCCATCACATTGTGACCAAAGAGTGGCCAGATTACTTGTTTATATTGGTGTCTTGACCAGAGGTCTAGCAACGAGAATTAAAAAACACCAACACAATATCAAGAAGAAAATGGCCAACACAGCACTAGCTGTATATGCAGGGGAAGGTGTATGGGTTGACTTTCATGATGCTAGTATATTACATCAAATGACGGACTGGGTATGATTGAAACATTTTGAGGTCTTTGAGATTTACAAGGCAATTAAAATAGTCAAAGCAATTAATTTTAAATTTACACACACACTCTCTCTCTCTCTCTACAGCTTGGCATGCATTTGTTTAACTGATGTAGAACTTTGATGGTTTTACACATTTTTCTTTTTAATTTTTTGAATATTTGATCTATTTCATTTATTTTAAAAATATGTTCTGTCACTTATGTTTGAGAATTACCTCACAATGTTTGTTGTAGATGAAATAAAACATTCATAGAATTAAAGCTATACATCAACTGAAGTCGAATATTATCGGGCCAGAAACGGCTATATTACTAATAATTTGATAAATTATTTGGCATTAGAGTTAGGCGTATATAAAATGCCTTGCCGGGGTTTGCGATGGCTGGTTGAGTGCCTTGGGAGTTGCACGTTGTGGGCGCTGAATGCGTCCCCAGCTGGCATTGTAATAACCGTCGATGGTTATATCATTAGCATAATTGGTAATGCATCTGGGTAAGCCAGGTAACATAATTGGCAACGCATCTGCATGGTAAGCAGGAGTTGCTGGTTTGAGTCCCACTTCAGGCCGATTCTTTTCTTCCAGTAATTCTAAAATTATTATTTAAATTATTTAATTAATTTATAATTATTAAATTTATCAAGAGATGGAGCCTAATGCCTAACTCTAATGCCAAATTTTTTATTAAATTATTAGTAATATAGCCGTTTCTGGCCCGATAATATTCGTTGATGTATAGCTTTAAAACATATCAGGTCTAGTAAGGATGTTTGATTTTCATAGAATTAAATATTTGTGTTTTTTACTGGTTGCTTACGTGTTTTTGTATTAATAAATGTAGCAGTTCAATGAAAAATGAACTTCCTTGCATAACAAGAATTTGACCAATTGTAATTTTTTTAGAAAAAGATCAACTGACAATGAAAAATGCAAAATTTGCTTTTCATGTTATACAGTAATTTTTGTTTTCTTCATATATAAAAATTATTATTAATAAAATTATGAAGTAAGTTTTATAAAAGTAATATGTTAAATTGTTGTAAGCATAATGATAATTGCTTTCACTTTAAGTGCTATAATTACACTTAAAGGCATTTACTTCATAAATATCATTGTGCAAGGAATTTGTACAAGATTTACATTTGATTAGATTAAATAATTAAATTTATTGTATTATTTTACATATTTTCTGTTGTTTTTTTGTTAACATCTAAAAAATTTATCATCAGTTTTTGACAATAATGAAAGCATGATTTTAAAAATTCATTACTTTTGAAATATTTAAGTATTTCTGTTTATTTTGTATTTATTTATTAAATTGATTTTCTTAGATCATATTGTCATGTCCATCGACCAAAGCAAAAAGTGCCACCTGAATATATTACAGAAGATGTAAAATGCTTGATATGTTTAAACAATGTTCATGGTTTTGTATCTAATGATTCTTTATGGCCTCCTTGCTGCAAGAATATATGGTTTCATCGCATTTGTGTACAAGTACGCTTATTTTATTTAATTATTTTTAGAAATATTAATAAGGCAAAAAAAATACACACCCAGTTCTGTTTTTTACATGGATTTTTAGTATGATTTTGATTTAACATAGTGTGGAAAAAGACTCAGTTCTTTCTTTACGTGATTTGTTTTGATGTAATACATTTCAATAAATTTTTCGTTTTAAAAATCTCTATTTGATTTTAATTATAAAGAATATTTATACTTGCTTTTCTAGAAAATTGCTCTTTTTAAAAAATTTTTTAGAATTTGCATTTAAGGCTGCTACACATGCTCAAGTAAATTTTAAGATATGGCTGTTTTTTATGACTTATTTGAACATGTATAGCAACCATTATTCTTTCATTATGACTTTATCTAGTGATTAAAGTAGTCAGAAAAACATTTAATTTGAAATTTGACAGTTTGTTTGTATGATTTATGTTGATTTCTTTCAATACAGAATAGTTTTTGTGTGTTAAAAATGAGAGGTGTTTTGGTATTTAATTGAAAAAGTCAAATAACAAATAAAATACAAATAAATATTATGAATAATATATAAATTTATTAAATTTACTGATAAGTTATAGTTGTCTCTTTTCTAATTTATTAATTAAAATTGAAATATTTTGTTTAAACACATCCTATTATATTAGTTGGTTTATCATATTATTTTTTACTACTTTTTAAGATCTGGAACCAATCTTTCATTTTTCCATATGGATAGCATTCTTTTTTTATGCAAGAACATACATACTGTGTAAAAACAGAATTGGATGTATGTATTACAAGTTTTTTAGAATATGATTACATTTTTGAAAAAAAATGTGTATGACTCACATATTAAACATTAGTAATATAAGATAAATTTAGAACAATTAAAATAATTTACAAATTTTAAGTTATTTTAGTTCAAACAAAAATATAAATTTACAAACATTGATTTAACAAATTTCTGAAACATTTTTCAATTATATGCTAGAAAAACCACCTGAAATATTTATTATTAATTAAAATATATAAGCTGAATACATTAAAAATGATTTAATCATTATGATGTAGCTCTAATGATTTGCTAAATATATATTTATCATATCTCCAAGCTAAAATGCTTACATATCTTAAATTTGTGTTAACTTCAGAATAAAATAAAGCCTAAAAAACATTAAAACTGTAAGAAAACAGAAAAATAAATCTATACATATGATGAATGCAAAATATTTATTATGATTTAACTATTTTTTATATGTCCCCAAGTATATGAAAAATAAGTTTATTTTTATTTTTAAAAATAGTTTTAAAAGAAACATTCAACTCATCCTTTAATTATACAGTAGAACCTCGAAAACTCGGCTCTCGATAACCCGGCACTCCGGATAACTCGGGCACATCCTGGCAGAGCAAAAAAATCCTTAGTTAATTAATTTTCATTATAGACAGCTTTATAAAAGTATAAAAGCTCTCATAAAGTATTTTTCTGAGGTCTGTCTTATCAGGTAAATTACTGTACACAGTGTATTCGTTAATTTTCATTTTCATGTAGTAAAGGCTCTATGCCTTCATAAAGGACGTACTTTTCCTTTGTTTAAGGGTATTTGGGCAGTTTATTCTC